AGAACTATTCTTAATTGATTTTTTCTTGGGATCAATGCGGAGTCATCATCATGACGAAGTTTTATTTTTCTCAATTTTTTTAGAAATTATTCTTTAGCACTTTTTTCACTTTTCGAAGATTCCATTGATTTAAAATAGGAATGGCCCCCAGAAGATTTTCTCAGAGGAGAACCTTACTGCATTCTGTTGCACTTGGAGTCATGAGGAAACCTAATTCGGCTCGACAATGGACTTTTGTTCCAGAAGAAATGGATCAGATTTTGACTTTTAGGAATTCTTCGCTGCTTTATTTTGTCTTAAATAGCTGGAGAATGAATGTACTTGTGGGAGAAATTTAGAATGGGTAGAATGAAAGAAGAATGAGTCAAGAAGAAAAAGATGGAAAGAAGGAGTAAGCAAGAGAAGAAAAACCCCTTCTTTTTTGATGAGAAATTCTTTTCCATTTTTCCTTCTTCCTTTTTTCTTTCTATTCTCCCCTTTTCCCTTTTCTTTCTTTTTTGTTTTCTTCATTCTTCTTTTTTTTTCCATTTTTTTTTCTTCTTCTTTACCTGTCTGCTTCCTTTTTCCTATCTTTTCTTCTTTTCTTTCCTTACTTCATTTTTTTTCACTCTGTTTTTCATTTCTCTTTTTATTTTTTTTCCCCCTCGTCGTCTTGAACAAGAAGGAGAATTAATTTAGTTTTCATTTCTTTTCATGTCTTCTCAGAGTCGTTTTTCATTCCTTCTCAGAAAATAGTCAAAGCATTTTTCAAGAAGCAGAAACTTTCTTTCTTCTTTTTTAATTCATTTCTTCTTTTCATTTTCTTTAGATTCTTTTTCTTCTTTTCATGAAGAAGAAGAGTAAGAAGAATTTTTGAATTGAAAGAACCTTTAAGAGAGAAGATTTTTATTTTGAATGAGGAGGAGAAAGAATGAAAGAGGAAGGATCTTAAAAGAAGATTTTTGTTTCCAAGCCTCGGAAGATTTTTTAAGAAGGAATAATGAAGTGAATCCCATTTTTAAAAATTTATTTTTCATGTAAGATTGAGTCTTCTTCTTTTCGTGGAGATCTTCCTTATTCTTCCTTTCCATTTTTTTTCTTTTTCTTTTTAAATATTATTTAGGTTCTTTTCTTTTCTTTTTTTCTTTCTTCTTTTCTCCAATCTATCTTCTTTTTTTTCTTCCTTTTCATTCTTTCTTTATTCATTAGGCTTTCCTATATTCTTTTCTTTTTCAAAAATGAACTTTTTTCTCTTTTATTCATTCTTCTTCTTTCAAAGCTTCTTTCTTTTCCAATGAGAAGAATTAAAGAAGAAGAAAGAATTTTTCCAGAAGAATAGAGCTTCTTCTTCTTTTTCTTAGTTTTTTCTTTTTCCCTTCTTCTTTTTTTCTTCTTTTTTACATTTTCACTTTATTTGTGTTCTTAATCACTTATTCTTTTATTCTTCTTTTCATTCTTCTTTTTCCATTTTCTTCTTCTTTCTTCTTAAACTTTTCATTCTTCTTCCTCATTCTTATTTTCTATATTTCATTTCTCATTCTTCTTTCATTTCTTTTTCATTTCATTCTTCTTTTCTTTTATCTCATTCTTCTTTATCTTTTCATTTATTAAGTTTATTGAAGAATGGATTCTTTTTCTTTAATGAAAGAATTAAGAACATTCCTTTCCGAATCAATGAAAAGATCAGAATTTTTTCAAAAGAATGAAAATTCTTCGTTTTTCTTTTCTTCTTAGCTTTTCTTCTTATTTTTCTTTTTTTTTTCTTCTTCATTCAATCTTTTTCAGCTTTCTCATTCAATTTCTTTCTTTTTTCATTTTTCTATTACATTTTCATTCTTTTTTTCATTCTTTCATTCTTTATCATTCCCGTTCTTTTTTCTTTTCTTTCAGTCTTTCTTTTTTCATTCCCTTTTTTCTGTCTATTTCTTTTCTTCTTTTTTCTTTTTTCTATTCTTCATTTTCTTTTATTTTTTTTTCTTCTTTTCTTTTCATTTTTCTTTTCATTCTTCTTATTCATTCTGCTCTTTTTCTTCTTCTTCTTCTTTCTCATTTTCTTTTCATTCTTCTTCTCATTTTCTTTTCATGAAGAGATGAAAAGGGAGAAGAATGAAAAGGAGAAGAATGAAGAGAAGAATGAGAAGAATAAGAAGTGAAAAGAATTTTCTTTTCTTTTTATTTATCTTCTTTTTCTTTTTCTTCTTTTGCAACTTCTTCTTCTTCTTTTTCCTTCTTCTTCTTCTTATTCATTCTTCTTTTCATTTCTTTTTTTCATTCTTCTCATTCTTCTTTTCATTTACTTTTTCTTCTTTTCATTCTTCTTTTCATGAAGAATGAAAAGAGAATGAAAGGAATGAATGAAAAGAATGAAAAGAATGATTTTTGAAAAGAATGAAAAGAATAATTCTTCTTCTTTTCATTTTTCTTCTTTTTCTCATTCTTTTCATTCTTCTCTTTCTTCTTCTCATTCTTCTTCTCATTCTTCTTCTCATTCTTTCTTTTCATTTTCTTTTCATTCTTCTTTTCATTTTTCTTTTCATTCTTCTTTTCTTTTTTCTTTTTTCATTCTTCTTTTCATTCTTCTTTTCATTCTTCTTCTCATTCTTCTTTTCATTCTTTTCATTCTTCTCATTCTTCTTTTCATTCATCTTCTCATTCTTCTTTTCATTCTTCTTCTTTTCATTCTTCTTTTCATTCTTCTTCTTCTTTTCATTTTTCTTCTTTCTTCTTTTCATTCTTCTTTTCATTCTTCTCATTCTTCTTTTCATTCATCTTCTCATTCTTCTTTTCATTCTTCTTCTCATTCTTCTTTTCATTCTTTTCTTTTTTCATTCTTCTTCTTCTTTTCATTCTTCTTCTTCTTTTCATTCTTCTTTCTTTTCATTCTTATTCTTCTTTTCATTCTTCTCATTCTTCTATTCTTCTTTTCATTCTTTTCTCATTCTTCTTCATGAAAAGAAGAATGAGAAGAATGAAAAGAAGAATGAAGAAAAGAAGAATGAAAAGAATGAAAAGAAGAAGTATTCCAGTACAGCAAAAAGTGTATCTGCAGAGAGCTCCGCTATTTCTGACAGTTCTCTGACAGTTCTTCACATTTACAGCGGTTGAAACATTGTATCTATTTCCGAATAAAAACATCTGTATCCTAAGTGGAAACAAATAGATACAATGTTTCAACCGCTGTAAATGTGAAGGAACTGTCAGAGAACTGTCAGAAATAGCGGAGCTCTCTGCAGGGGACACTTTTGCCGGCTGATCGGGAAAAAATCCGATTCGCGCACCCGAAGTATGCTAATATTCGGATTCGCCGCGAATCGAATTTTTCCTGAAATTCGAAACTAATTCCACTTCGCCTGGTTCGATTCGCTCATCTCTATATTTATAACCAAAAATTATACTTTTTTAACATTTTTTTTATTTTATTATTTATGGGGTTTTTTTTCTACATACTGTCACCCTAGCAGTACAGTGTCACCATGGTGACACTGTACTACCTGTGGGGGTTGATGAAGATTTTTTCTTTTTATTGCTTTTACAGCCTTTATGGGTGTAAAAGCAATAATTTCTCCTTCTCTCTGGCTGCATTCTTGCAGCCATTGAGAAATACTGTGTGAGCTGTGATTGGTCACAGCTTGTCACATGGTACAAGGCTGTTGTGAATAGCCTTGTACCATGTGACCTCTGTGATAATTCACAGATTTCACACGTAGTAAGCAATGATGTCAGAAGTGACATCTTGCTTACTACTCTGCATGTGATCAGTGATTGGCCAATCAGTGATCGCATGATTGGGACCTCACACAGAGGTCCCGTACGACGATCGGTGTTCTACTGTGTCCGGAGGACACAGCGGGCACCGGATCGCGGTGCTGCGCACTCCCAGGGAGCGCGCACAGTCCATAATGGTGGGTGCCGTTTATGAATGGCAACCCGCCCCTGGAGTGCCACCGTCCGGCCGTTTATATACATGGGCCAGATGGGAGGTGGTTAAAGATGAATATAAATCACTGAAGATAAAGATTCCACTGCATCCAAATTGACCATGTAAACCAAACAAAAAATCGCTCCAATGGTGTAATATGAACAAACAGATACTTTAATAAAGTGATTGGACCTTACTCACTGAAAAATCAATAAAACAAGACCAGGTGCTCTCACCCCCTCCGGTTTGTTGTTAATGGATGCCTTTGCGTCACTTCCGGTCGCTGCACCATCACGCTCTGACGCGTTTCGTCACTTCCAACTTACTCATAGGGGTTACAAGTATATTTAAAAATCTATGTTTAAATGCATTTTTTTTAGATGTTCAGAAATATCTGGAAAATATATTTTGAAAAATATATTTTTAAATATATGCCTTTGGAAAATATATTTTAATTTACATTTTTGGAATACATGTTGAAATATATTCGTGTAGGCCAATATATTGTAAATATATGTCGCATGTATAATTTCTTTTTTTTTCTAAATATATTAAAAATATATTTTTCTTCGATACGTGTGCCCACAGCTGGCAAACCCAACAGCAGGAATCGGTAGCTTGGATTCGCACCATCACCGAGCCCTGGTTCACATATGCGTGGGCACGAGAGCCCATTCATTTGAATGGACTCCTGAGCCCATGACACGCAGGGAAGAAGTCCCTGCACTCCTCCTACGAGTTTTAACCAGTGCTCAGCTGAAGTCACAAGACTGCTATATACTGCTGATGAGAAAAGGTATTTAGCAGTTTATATTTACTAAAATAATTGCACTTTCATGTTCTGTGTACTGTGGGAGACCAGATATAGTGAATGGGGGGTCTGGGGAGACCAGATATAGTGAATGCAGGGTCCGGGGAGAGAGTGGATATAGTGAATGCGGGGTCCGGGGAGAGCGGATATGGTGAATGCGGGGTTCGGGGAGAGCGGATATGGTGAATGCGGGGTCCGGGGAGAGCGGATATGGTGAATGCGGGGTCCGGGGAGAGCGGATATGGAATGCGGGGTCCGGGGAAGAGCGGATGAATGCGGGGTCCGGGGAGAGCGGATATGGTGAATGCGGGGTCCGGGGGAGACCGGATATATGGTGAATGGTGATATGGTGAATGCGGGGTCCGGGGGAGACCGGATATGGTGAATGCGGGGTCCGGGGGAGACCGGATATGGTGAATGCGGGGTCCGGGGGGGAGACCGGATATGGTGAATGCGGGGTCCGGGGAGAGAGCGGATATGGTGAATGCGGGGTCCGGGGGAGACCGGATATGGTGAATGCGGGGTCCGGGGGAGACCGGATATAGTGAATGCAGGGTCTGGGGAGAGCAGATATCATGAATGCAGGGTCCTGAGTTTAGTAACACTTTAAGATTTCATCTGCACCATCCTCCTCCAGCCAGTAGGGGGAGAACTAAAGCCAAGCAAGCCTATAGACTTCTATGCAGAGCACTGAGAATGCTGGGAGTTGTAGTTTGAGATGGCAGATGCACTGTGCAGCAGAAGGAGTAGATGAGGATTTTTTTTTTTATTAAACTGCCTGTGAAAGTTCTTCCTCTTAGCATTGAGAGAGGAGGGAGAGGACTTCTGTCTGGATATTTACCTGTCATCTGAATAATGACAGGATAATGGAGGATAATGGGTTTCCGATAACTTCAAGTTTGATTTTTCTCAAATATTTGGCAATTAATTTGCAGCTTTTTTTCTAAACACATTTCTTGTGACCCTGTTGACTATTTGCAACAAAACGTTTGATGGTTCTGTGATCACGCTATTGCAATATCTTAGCAATTTCAAGAGTGCTGCATCCCACCTGAAAGACTTTTTATAATTTTTGCCTTTTCAGAGTCAGTTAAATCTCTTATTTGGCCTGTGATAGAGGATCCATCCTATCCAGTGGCTCCTACGGGGGTAGATCTACATAAATTTAATTTTATAACATCCTGTACTAATTGTTCTGGTGTTCCTGTTGTCCCATTAGCTGCTGGGGTCTGGAAAAAAGAAAGATCAAATCTTTCTGGGATTTAGAGGAATACCTAACACCCACCCCTGCCCCCCACAGTATAACATGGGGTGTCAGAATGGCCAATAGTTAGGTGTGAGTATTGTCACATGGGGCTGGGGAAAGGAGGAGGAGAATATGTTGCATTTTCTTGTGTAGATTCAACCTTCCACAGGCATTTGAAGGAATCCTTCCTTGGTGCAGGGCAGCGGGTTTAGATGGGAAGGTAAATACAGGGCACTTACTCTTCCTGCAATAAAGCTGGGTATACACGTATAGATTATTTTCCTTCAACTGGCAGGCCTAAAGATGGTGGAATCTCCCACTGCCTTCAACCTTGTTGTCCAAAAGATGGAGGAATCTCCCAATACCGTCAACCTTGTTGGTTGAAAGATGGAGAAATCCCCCACTGCCTTTAACCTTGGTGGCTGAAAGATGAAGGAATCTCCCAATGCCTTCAACCTTGTTGGTCGAAAGATGAAGGGATCTCTTACTGCCTTCAACCTGCTTGGCTGAAAGATGGAGGAATCTCCCATTGCCTTCAACCTTATAATACTAGAAACAAAATATGTATTCATGGACTTTATGTGGACATATATAATGAAACGGAATATCATAAAATACAATTTTTATTTCATTACATTTTAAGAGCATATTACAAAACTCTCCACTTTGAGGTTCACAACATGTATAGATTCCAAACGCAATTCACATATGGACTCGACGTGCTTCGGAAATCCTTCTTCGGGAAAAAATGTGAAAGAATCAATACATTGGAATCCACTTTTGATCTATTTAGAACAGTATCAACTGATATGATTAGCTGGAATTTGCAACATGTATATGTTTCCCATGGAGGTGCATCAAAATGGGCAGCAATAGAACTACTGGTACTCGGGTAAAGATATCCATATGTGGTCCAAAGCAACCAAAACTCTCTTAAGCACAATCTTTGATATAGGGACCAAATTCCCAATGAGGGAGCCGTGTAGACGCAGTATAAAGAATATCAGCAGTGGGAGTGCATGGTAATCAAAACTTGTATGTTCAAATAATACAAAGGGGCTCTTGGTTCACACCCATCAAAAGAGTAGATCTCTAGGTCCTGCATTACTCATACCATTGCAGAATATCAAATTTTGTTTGATAAAGATGGAGGAATCTCCCACTGCCCTTCACCGGCTTGTCGCCTTCAACCTTGTCGCTGAAAGATGGAGGAATCTCCCACTGCCTTCAACCTTGTCGGTTGTGGGGAATCTCCCACTGAAAAAGATGGAGGAATCTCCCACTGCCTTCAACCTTGTTGGTTGAAAGGTGGAGAAATCTTTCACTGCCTTCAGCGTTGGTGGCTGAAAGGTGGAGGACTCTCCCACTGCCTTCAACCTTGCTAGGCAAAAGATGAAGGAATCTCCTACTGCCTTCAACCTCATTGACTGAAAGATGGAGGAATCTCCCACTGCCTTCAACCAGTCAACAATTTTCCACCTAGCACCTTTTGATTTTTCAATGGAAAGATGTCAGGTGGAAGGGGGCTTACAGGGCCACCCACATATCAAATATCATCTGCTTCCTGAGGAATAGTATGTACACAGCTTTACTTTGCCTACTTGGGGCAGAGTGCAGTGACTTACAGCATTGCATGAGAAGATGTCTCACCCGACTGCCATTTCCTTTACATCATTTCCTCAATACGCAGAAGAATATACTTCTATCTACTTCCTTACTGGGTAAATTACATAACTACCAAATGTTACAATTACACAATTGTGGTTAATTTTTATTTGTATTTTTTGTGGCTTTTAAAATGGCAATTAGTGTCTGTGTATAGACAGTCAATGAGTTTGTTAGCTGTCATGTTGATGCACTGAGCAGGCTAGATACTAAGCCATAGGGATCAGAAAAGAACTGCCAAAAGACCTGTGTAACAAGGTAATGGAACTTTATAAAGATAGAAAACGGTCTAAAAAGATATCCCAAAGCCTTGAATATGCCAGTCAGTCCTGTTCAATCATTTATTAAGAAGTGGAACATTCAGGAATCTCTTGATATGAAGTCAAGAACCGGTAGACCAAGAAAGATTGCAGCTACAACTGCCAGAAGAATTGTTCAAGGTACAAAGAAAAACCCCACAGGTAACCTCAGGACAGGCTGCTCTGGAAAAAGACAGTGTGAATTTTTTTAGTGAGCACAATACAACAAATCTTAACCAAAAATGAGCTGTATGGTCAATTCGCCAGAAAGAAGCCTTTACCACGCCAATGTCACAAAAAAGCCCAGTGTCAAGGTGTTGTCAGGCATATTGTAACCAGACTTTTTTGTAATATCTATCTATCTATCTATCTATTATCTATCTATCTATCTATCTATCTATCCATTTATAAACACATAATTCTTTTTTTTTCAGTGAATAAACACTGTTTACATGAGAAAGGATACCCAAAGCACTAGGTTAGCTATAACCCATATGGAAGAAAAATATATTTGAAATAGATTTTAAAAATATTCTTCCCAAATATATTGACATATTTGAAATGCTACAATTTTAGCCATATTCAATATATTTCAATAAATAAAAATAAATATATATATTTGACTACTGTAACTCCCTCCTCATCGGCTTACCTCACCGCAGGCTATCCCCACTTCAGTCCATCTTAAATGCTGTGGCCAGACTCATCCACCTCACAAACCGCTCCGTATCCGCCACCCCCCTCTGCCAATCCCTCCACTGGCTTCCGATTGCCCAATGGATAAAATTCAAAATGCTAACAATAATGTACAAAGCTGTTCATAATACTGCCCCAAACTACATCACTGATCTGGTATCCAAATACCACCCAAAACGTACTCTTCGCTCCTCACAAGATCTCCTACTCTCTAGTTCCCTGGTTTTCTCCTCCCATGCCCGCCTCCAGGACTTCCCCCATCCTCTGGAACTCCCTGCCCCAATACATCAGACTATCACCTACTCTCCTCACCTTTAGGCGCACCCTGAAAACCCACCTCTTCAGGGAAGCCTACCCCCACCCTCAGCTAATTACTGAACTCCTCCATTCTTCCTACCACTCCATCCCCCACAGTTATTTCCTCCTGTACCACTACGCCCTCCCTCCTAGATTGTAAGCTCAAAGGAGCAGGGCCCTCGAACCCCTTGTGTATTGAATCGTATTATTACTGTACTGTCTCGTGTACTGTCTCCGATTGTAATGTACAGCGCTGAGCAAACTATTGGCGCTATATAAATACTGTATTATAATAATATACATACTGTATGTTGAAATGCATTTTTATAACAAAATATATGAAAAATATTTTAAAAAATACACTTCAAATACAGTGGGGCAAAAAAGTATTTAGTCAGCCACCAATTGTGCAAGTTCTCCCACTTAAAAAGATGAGAGAGGCCTGTAATTGGCATCATAGGTAGACCTCAACTATGAGAGACAAAATGAGAAACAAAAATCCAGACAATCACATTGGCTGATTTGGAAAGAATTTATTTGCAAATTATGGTGGAAAATAAGTATTTGGTCACCTACAAACAAGCAAGATTTCTGGCTCTCACAGACCTGTACCTTCTTCTTTAAGAGGCTCCTCTGTCCTGCACTCATTACTTGTATCAATGGCACCTGTTTGAACTTGTTATCAGTATAAAAGACACCTGTCCACATCCTCAAACAGTCACACTCCAAACTCCACTATGGTGAAGACCAAAGAGCTGTCGAAGGACTCCAGAAACAAAATTGTAGACCTGCACCAGGCTGGGAAGACTGAATCTGCAATAGGCAAGCAGCTTGGTGTGAACAAATCAACTGTGGGAGCAATAATTAGAAAATGGAAGACATACAAGAGCACTGATAATCTCCCTCGATCTGGGGTCCACGCAAGATCTCACCCCGTGGGGTCAAAATTGATCACAAGAACGGTGAGCAAAAATCCTAGGACCACACGGGGGGACCTAGTGAATGACCTGCAGAGAGCTGGGACCAACGTAACAAAGGCTACCATCAGTAACACACTATGCCGCCAGGGACTCAGATCCTGCAGTGCCAGACGTGTCCCCCTGCTTAAGCCAGTACATGTCCGGGCCCGTCTGAAGTTTGCTAGAGAGCATTTGGATGATCCAGAAGAGGATTGGAAGAATGTCATATGGTCAGATGAAACCAAAATAGAACTGTTTGGTAGAAACACAACTCGTCGTGTTTGGATGAGAGAGAATGCTGAATTGCATCCAAAGGACACCATACCTACTGTGAAGCATGGGGGTGGCAACATCATGCTTTGGGGCTGTTTCTCCGCAAAGGGACCAGGATGACTGATCCATGTACAGGACAGAATGAATGATGATACAAAG